CAATACTAGTTTGAGTTCTCTTCATTTATTGGGTTTTACTGTGCTCAAGTTGTTTCGTTTACTCAAATGGATTCAGTTTAAAGTACTCATTAGGATTCGTTTTTGAACTTAAATAGTTTGTTGCAATCGGTTTCCTCAAATGGTTTAAGTTACCTTAACTTTTTGGGTTTTACAGTGTAATGGGGGTTCGGGTGGTTCGAAAGATCCACCCCTCACAGACAATGGTCCAGAATTTTTCCCATACACAAGCTCATTTATCTTATTTTGACTGGTATGCCATAATAAATTGTGAAAATAACCCTTAAAAGCGGAATACCTGGCTGTTGCTTCAGACTGACTGGGGAAAGTTAAATGTGCTGACCACATTTAAATTACAATAGGCTACAGTTTTTAATTTAAAACTTTAACAGATTTATATATGTTTTTTGAATAATATAAAATGTAATAAATTTGGATTTCAAAAGTCAGTGTTGTTCTCATATTTCTTCTTTATAAATCTTTAGCACGTGTTTTGGTACATCGAAACATGTGGTATGATGACTATCTGACAAGCTGATCCAGCAAAAAAAAGTGCTTAAAATGTCACCAAACTGAACCTATTTAAACCTTAGAATTAATAAGAAGAATAAATGCAAAAGGGTTCACTTTTTATGAATAAAATATCCATCCCTTTCACCAGGCTGGCTATGGGCCTGTATAATCATGTTTCAAAGCCTTTGCCAAATACATAAATGTAAATTTTGTGAATGGGAAATAAACGTGACCCTAAAGGTCCTTATTGTGCATTTTAATAATCCTTCAGTTTGAACTTCAAAATGGCAAAATGATCTACTTGCACAAATTGTTTTTGAAATCCTGGCATGATGCATTCAGGATGAACGTCAATGATGGAAATAGAAATGGGATGGATTTTGCTGTAGCCAGAAATAGAAAGCATTGCCTAAAATGAGTAATCATTAAATTAGATTACTGATTACAGTTGTCGTATTTTTGCAATTTGTTCCACACTTTATCAGTACAGGCAAAAATATAGACAATCCAGTCCAGCATACAGTGCTGCATGTCTGTAATACATGATTAATGGCAGTACAAAACACATCTCAGGATGAACACTGTTGAACATGCCGCATTGCTATTTCATGCACACACTACTTCATTAGATACATTAAGAGAGTTATACATCATTGCAGCATCTTCAAATCTCAAGGTCATCTTTATTAGAGGATATTTGTGGAAAATGGAATATTACTAATGCAACACCAATCAGGCATGTAAAGTACAACGCTTAAAATAACACCACAATAATGAGTAATTAGAACATTATTTGTCTTATGCAAGCAATTATCAGTCCAGTTTCATCTGGTTAGCAGTGAGACTTGCTTAAAAGAACGGGATGCTGCATCACCTTCATCGACACACAAGGTCATCAGAATTGCATGAAAACCAACTGTAGTGGCAAAATGCGCACAATACAATCAGCCCGTCCCCCTTTTCTCATGGCAGAGCAGTGTCTGGTCTAATCAGAGGAGAGGGATGTTGTGAAGTAATCTGTGAGATTACTGTAGCTCTGTGCGCAGCTTTCTCCTATAGAGGTGTCTGCTTTTCAAAGATAGTTGTAGGGGAGGATCTCATCATTAAATCATGTTGTCAAGGCGACAAGTTTGTGTGGAGCATGGCTTTGAGGAGTGTGTCAGAGCACAGGCGTATTCCTGTCACGATTTCATCACCATTTCAGCGTAACCCTGGCAACCCGAACTCCCCAAAAACCGCAACACTACAACCAGGTAAGTGCATATTACCACATTCACTCACTGCTTTGTCAGAATGATTTACGGTATCAGAACAGACTGTTTGCATTAGTGTCACAGTTTTATTTGCTAAACATATTTTGGCCATAAAATCAGTCATATTTATCAATGAGGATCATTAAAGAAACAGTTCACCCAAAAATGAACATTTCAGTCACGCTTCATTCGTTCCATTTATCTTTTTTTCCTCTGTTGAACACAAAAGAAGAAATTTTGAAGAATGTTGAAAAACCTGAAAGCAGTTGCATCTACTGTATTTTCTTTTATGGATGCCAATAGCTATCGGTTTCCAATATTTTTCAAAATATCTTATTTTGTATGCAACAGAGGGAAGAAATTCAAACAGGTTTGAAACAAGTGCAGTGCAAATTAAAATGTTTGGGTGAACTGTGTGTAACCCACCGATCCTACTGCACTCAGGCCGCTCTGAGCTGGGATCGAACCAGCGATTCTTTGTATGGGCATAAAGACCTAAAGACCATGGCCTCTAGCATCTGTCACTAGAGCACCTTTCGAGGTCAGAGGAGTGAGGTTTACAAGCATAGCAATGTACTAGCTGGCCTCCGTTACACACAACCTCCTAAACCAGTGGTTCTCAAACTGTGGTACGTGTACCACTAGTGGTACGCTGGCTTCCTTCTAGTGGTACGCAGAGGAATGAAATATGTCATGTACATGCAACACACATTTCAAAATTTATCAAAAATGATGTATATAATATGCCATATATGACATATAACCTATATTTCTGAGGTAATCTGCCATGTTTTTTTTAACTGTGAGAGTTGGAGCTGATTTACTGGGCCTACTACGCTAATGTATTTCACTACTGCTCATTTTGGTGGTACTTGGAGAGACAATTTTTTTCTGAGGTGGTAATTGATGAAAAAAGTTTGAGAACCACTGTCCTAAACCCCACTCCCATCCCGGACGAGCCCCCATGTGTTACCCACCGGTTCTACTGCACCCAACCCGGTCTGAGTCCTTTTTCAAATGTGCATAATTAGTGTGAAGGGCTAGAAGTGAAAAATGGACCAAAACAATTATGCAAAAAGTAAAAAATTACAAGAAACTGTCAAATTTTTAAACAATTGGAGTATAGTCGCCACAAACACAAGTTGTCAGTCAGGTTATCGTTTTTAAAGGTGAAAAATCCTGAAGAATGACCCATGGTGTCAAATAAATAAATAAAAATTTGACTGTGTAAAAAGTTTGAACTTTTTAAGCTAGGGGATAGAGAAAGGAGCGGCACAATTTTCAGTTGTACCACAGTTTGAAGAGTTTGTCTTCCAGAATCTGTCAGTTTGAGAGCTCATTTTTTAGTCTACCCTGCAGGGTCTGTCTCAGTTATTGTTGCTATTGGTATCAGCTCATGATTTTCCCACCTCTTTGCTGTTGTCTGACTCGAACTGGTGACTCAAGAGCCATTCTCAACCTGTCTGTCCAGAAAACTGTCCATAATATCATGTATTTTATGACACTTCAGCTTGAGACTCTTATTAAGCAGGGGTCATGTTTCGAAATTCCTTATAGCAAAGTCTCTGAGAACTTGACACGTTGTACTTATGAAGAAGAATCCAAGCAGGCTACATTCATTCATTCATTGATTTTCCTTCAGCTTAGTCCCTTTATTCATCAGCGGTCGCCACAGCGAAATGAACCACCAACATATTCAGCATATGTTTAACACAGCAGATGCCCTTCCAGCTGCAAAACCAGCACTGGGAAACATCCATACACATTCATTCACACACATACACTAAGGCCAACTTAGTACATTCGATTTAACTATACCTATGTGGGAGGAAACAGGAGCACCCGGAGGAAACCCACGCGAACACGTTGAGTACATGCAAACTCAACACAGAAATACCAACTGACCCAGCCAGGACTCAGTGACCTTCTTGCTGTGAGGCGAACGTGCTAACCACTGAGCCACAGCTCTGGGAAAAAATGTTGGCCCCTGGAGATTGAAAAGTTCCTGGGGGCTTAATTTTTATTTTAACACCTTAATTCTTCAAACCTTTTCTTCTCAACCCTAGTTTTGGTCATCTTGCTGCTCAGTGAGCATTACTTGCCAGCTTAGTTTTGCAGTTTCTATACGAGATCCTTCTTGTGTGTATTGTCGACTTTTTAGTGCGAGTTAAATCTTGCTTTTAGGGCCATTTTATCTGTAACAACACTGCTTAAATGTTATCCTTTTTGGACTAAAATGATTTTATAATACTTCCAGCCCTCCTTAAAAACTACACATTGCTTATTGATATTGATATACATTAACTAATAGTATTTAGTGAGATCGATGTGGTTGCAATTAGCAAAATGTGTATGGGAAAACTGAACATGGACTTGCATAATAATTATGCGTGCACTGTGAAGGCTGAGCGAATCTCTGAGCGCCATAAATCACAGTGAACTATGGATTACAAACATGTTGTTTATGATGCTTCACATTTTCATGATGTGTTTCACAGTTGTTGGTCTTGCTCAGTTTATGCAACACACACTGCAGTGGCCAGTCTCAACATTGACATGCTGCTCCGTTTCTCTCTCCCTCTCTCTCTTCCTCTGCTTGCAGTGGTCTGGTCAGGAGTGATGAAGGGATATGCAGTCCTGCACTGTGCTCCTGGAGTTGATGTTGTTAGCATTATCACACCTGATCAATAACTATTAATGAAGGAAGCCATGGCTGATTCAAGATGTGGCTCCTGCTCTGCCGTTGCCATGGAAACCAGAGCTGCAGCGCTGCGGGCTCAAATTGGGAGTTGGAAGAAAAAGACGGGAAAGGGAGGAAAAAAAGGAGAGGGAAAGCGAGGGGAGAGAGAAGGACGGGGCAATGCTAGTTATTATAATCAATACCAAGTGTTTCATGCTAATTTCCCTCTACAAACATCCTTGGCTGCGTAGTTTTAGACTGTATAATGTTTTTTTGTCAAATAAATCAAACGTTTTGTTATTTATTGTTTTCCTGCAGGAGTTCGTGCTCTTTCTGCACTATATTTATTATGTTTGGGCGATTTATATTGTACGCGTAGTATCCTACATCATTGAAGGTTGATTTAAGTGGTCGCAGCGCCCTCTGTGATGCGCGCTGCCGCTCCGGGCCTGCAGAGGGAGGCGTTGAGTTATACCTGTGATCGGACCACACGGCGAAGAAAACACTTCATGCCGAACACATCAATGAACTATCCTGCTCATTCAGCAACATTTCAGTGATTTAAAACGAAGATGCCTATGTAAACATTAACACATGTGTTTTAATGCGTACGACAATTTGTACTAGTGTAGCACTGGAATGATTTTTGTTTTTAAACTTTCGGGTGGCATTACGACACTCAGTTTCTTGCTTTTCTATTAAATATGTGACATCGACGATGGCAAATCTTTGTAAAAGAGTTGTGGACCTCGAAAAATACATTGTGAAAGAGGTAAACACTTAAGTTTATGTAAAGTAATGCTGTCACATTTCTATCTATTGTATGTTTAAACACATTTTGTTATTTAATTGTACACACAGACACACACACAGTATGACATGTTGTGGGTGAAATGTTTTCTTTGTAGGCTCCTCCGACTGTTTACTATATTCCTGATTTTATATCGGAGGCTGAGGAGGAGTTTTTGCTTCAGCAGGTAGGAGGCTCAAACTACCTGTAATCCTGGTATCTACACTTGCATAACATGCTATCTGTTTACTTTTATACTTCATGTCCAGTGTTTGTTTATTTGTTTGTTTAAGGTGTACAGAGCTCCAAAGCCCAAGTGGACACAGTTGTCAGGGAGAAGGCTACAGAACTGGGGTCAGTAAAATGCTGTGTTTTGACCACTGCAGTTCATGGATCTAACATTGTATTTATATGAAAAATCTATTTTTTTAAAATGGAATTTGGAATGGAATGGAAAATGGAATGTTGTTTAAAAACCTAATGTTTTTAATCTGTAATATGTAAAAATGAGCAATTAATAAACTTTTGTACCATACTTGATGCATCAGGTGTTATGGGCCTGTATAGCATATTATTTAGTCATATTTTTCACATTTGTAAATGAATGAAAAAAGTGTGTCTAAATTTCATTTAGAGAATAAAAATAACATTGGCATATTTACTCTACCTGACAAAAGTCTTGTCATCAATAACAGTTGTAAGACCAACAAATTATAACTTGACTTCTAGGAGATCATTTGGAAAAGTGGCAGAAGGTAGATTTTAAACTGCATCCCAATCATCAGTATTACTGCAGGAGACCTATTGGAACCTGCATGAACCCAAAATTCTCACTGAAATCGGTCAAGTTTGGTGAAGGAAAAATTAGGTTTGGGGTTACATTAAATATGGTGCTGTGCGAGTGATCTGTAGACTGAATGGCAATATCAACAGCCTGAGATATCAAGACATTTGTGCTGCCCATTACATTACAAACAACAAGAGACGGCAAAATATCAGCAGGATAGCGCTCCTTCTCATACTTTAGCCTCCACATCAAAGTTCCTGAAAGCAAAGAAAGTCAAGATGCTCCAGGATTGGCCTGCCCAGTCGCCAGGCATGAACATTATTGAGCATGTCTGGGGTAAGATGAAGGAGGAGAAGCCATTAAAGATTAATCCAAAAGGTCTAGATGAACTCTGGGTGTCCTGCAAGAACGCTTTCTTTGCTATTCCAGATGACTTTATTAATAAGTTATTTGAGTCATTGCAGAGATTTATGGATGCAGTCCTCCAAGCTCATGGAAGTCAGACACAATATGAATTATTTTTCTACTGCACCATGACTATATATTCTATACTGCAAATTATTTCTGTTAAGTAACAAGACTTTTGTCTAAGCAAAGTCAGACCTTACTCTCCTAATTAAATAATTAAAAATCAAGGCATGATCATATTTTGTTAAAATAAGCGTAATCTAGAGGCATTTCCCTTTCATTTGGGCCATGTCTGAGACCTAATGATCAACTAGAAGTCAAGTTATCATTTGTTGTTTCTAAAAGTTGGATAGGCGTCAGGTAGTGCAAGTCCTCTGCATATTTAAAAGGAAAATAATTGGATGACTTAATTCACTTTAACTTGCACAGAAAAAAAGACCAATTACTTTGGTCAAGTAGCGTTCCTGACACCACTATTTGAGTTTTTGTGTCCAGATGGTAATGTATGGACAAAAGATCAACCATTTATTTTTGATGCCTCTTAAAGGGTTAAGGGTCACAGTGCAGCCTCAAAATACTAATACTTTTTATTTTAAATCTTTAGAATTTGTCACAATCAAATTTAGTTTGATCTTATTTTTTTATTAAATTTATCTGTGGCCATGTTTAAGAATATTGTATAAATATACGCATCTCATATGCTAAATGATGACAGAACATTATTTCTACATTATTTACACTACCGGTCAAAAGTTTGGGATCGATTTTTTTTTTTTGTGTGTGTGTTTTTTGTAAAAAAATTATTCTGTTCATCAAGGCAGCATTCAATAAATGTAAAACTGAGCAATATAAAAACCAACAACAACTATAAAGACAGAAAAGTATTTATTTTTAAAAAAAAACATTGATACATTAGTTGCTACAGTTTTATACATAGGTTTACAATGTTACACATATTTCTAGGCAAGTGGGCACAGGCAATATGGTGACCGGGTCATACCTCTAAACCAGTGGTCACCAAACTTGTTCCTCGAGGGCCGGTGTCGTGCACATTTTAGCTCCAATCCTAATCAAACACACCTGAACAAGCTAATCAAGGTCTTACTAGGTATACTTGAAACATCCAGGCACGTGTGTTTAGGCAAGTTGGAGCTAAACCCTGCAGGGACACCGGCCCTCCAGGACCGAGATTGGTGACCCCTGCTCTAAACTGTTATCCTTGACTAGTGATTTCTGAAGGATCATGTGACTGAAGATTGGAGTAATAAATGATTAAATTAAATGACCGGAATAAATGATTAAATTAAATGATAAACTACTTTTGAACAGTTATTTTAAAGTAAACTAACATTTCACAATTGTACAATTTGTACTGTGTTTTTAATTAAATAAATGCAGCCTTGGTAAGCAGGAGAAGCTTATTTTAAAACATTTAAAAATCCTACTAACCCCAAATGTTTGACCGGTAGTGTATATTTACATTTAGTCATTTAGCAGACGCTTTTGTCCAAAGTGACTTTACAATTAAGGACACATTAAGCTGTTCAACAAGAGGTGGCTATACACACAAGAAGTGCTAATTATACAACTGAAATGTTTGTGCTCAGATAATTTATTCTATATTTACCTTTTTTAAAAATTCTATATTTAACTTTTTATTTAATAAATAATTGAATTAAGGCCTTGGAACTTCATGTATCAAACATGATAACAGAGGCTAAATTAAGCTCCTCTAAAAGTCTAATCTAGTCTGCTTCTTCGTGTAATTGAGAAATATTATTTTAGAAATGTTGAAGGCCTGTGTAGTTGTAGCTCTTGATACAGATTGACATGTCACTACTTCACACCTTAAGAGCATTTCACTGTATGTTGCAGAGCTGGAGGGAATATATTAAAATGATTGATGGGTTTCTTTTTCCAGGTGGATTGCCAAATCCCAAAGGAATGCTTGCTGAGAAACTCCCTGATTGGCTGCTAGAGTACACAGAGAAGATATCAGCTCTTGGAGCTTTTGCAGGAAAGACGGCTAATCACGTGCTTGTAAATGAATACAAGCCAGGGGAAGGAATTATGGTAAGGAAAGTGTTTTCCATTTAATTTCCCCCAGTTATCGTATTTTAACCCATTTTCTCTTTCTCACTTTCCTAGCCTCATGAGGATGGACCATTGTATCACCCCACTGTAACCACTATCACTGTGGGTTCTCATACACTTCTGGATTTCTACAGGCCTGTTTGTCAAGCCGAGGTAGTGGCAGATAAACTCACACAATTAATCAGACAATCAAAGCTAACATTCTGCTCCTAACGTTCTCCCCCTCTGCCTGTAGCCTGACGCTCCGCAAACAGAAGAAAGCCGCTACATGCTTTCACTCTTGGTGCAACGAAAAAGTCTGCTGATTCTCCAGGACGATATGTACAAGTGTTATTTGCATGGTATTCGAGGAGTCTGTGAGGATGTGCTGTCTGAGCATGTGGTGAATATTTCGTCAACGGGGGCTCAGGTGGGCGACACGCTTCCCCGGAGCACCAGAGTGTCTCTTACCATTCGTCATGTTCCCAAAATCATCCGAGCTAATCTCTTTCTTGGGAAGAAGTGAGGCGTTCAAAGACCTGCCTGAACTTTGAACTAGACAAACAGGCGCTACATGTTCGCACCCGCAGACCAAACTGTGTAAATGCAGTACACAAACTCCTCTACAATATATTATTGTATGTGCAATTCATTAGTGTCTCTAAGAAAATCTTACAGGGTGGTGTGGCAGCTGAAAACACTACATGCCTGGATAGAGGTAAAGTTGGTTTTATATTCGCACATTCAGACTTTCCCCTTAAATAATATAATTTTATTAAAGTATTATTTTTGAACTCTAAATAGTGAAATCGCATAGCTGCAAATAGTACAACATTGTTCACAGTCAAATAAACAGTGTTAATGTTGTTTTCAAGCCACACTTGCATGCTAATTCCAATCAAATATTCAAAGTAACATGTTAAACAATTTAGAGACTTCTAAATGAACGAATGTGTGAATCTAAAACCAACTTTACCTCTATCATGCCTGGCTTATCCTGTACAAACACATTTACATTTTCTTTATGAGTGAAAAGAAACATGTTGTCTTTGGAGCCTCAGAAATAAAGTGTGTAGCTGTATTTGTGAATTGTTGCAGTGCTTTTGTACTGATTTTGTATAATAATATGCAAACTAGAACTGATCATTCAGGTGTTGCGTCTTCCCCTCCTTTAATTCTTGGAAATGTGGGCTTGTCCTGCTCTGCGTTTTAGAATGTGGATTGGTGGTTTCTGTCTAGCTTTACGCTGCTTGCGTAAAGTACTTTAGAATCTGCGTATCCTGTCAGATGCGCATTGTACGTCGGCTGACGACGGTTTACAGTATCCACTGCTCTTTACTGGTGAGTTTAATCTGTCTGCGTGTTAAACAACGAGTTGAAAAGATATTTACAAGTGTCGTAACAAATATATATTGTGTGGTAAATTGTATAACCTGCAGTTTTTACTTGATTTAATGCGGTCATCTTAGGGTAGCTTGTTTAGCGTGTTAGCATGTTTTACTCGCATCCAATTTTAGTTGAGCTTCCAAAAACGCTCATATTTAGCTCACTAATTTCTTTGTTTTACTTACCAAGCATTTTAAATAAGGATGATCAAACACTATTATCGGAAAATGTCAGCTGACAGCAAAAGCAGCAAGATAGGTCGACTGTTTACTGTGATTGCGCTTGCAAAACATCCCAAACACGCCAGATTTCTAACATTCAATCTGTTGCTACAAGTAGCGTTAGTTCTGGAGTATTACACGCCGTTCAATGCAAGCTTCGCGTTGAAAAAGTATGCTGTTTTTCTTGTGGTTTAATCGTGGGTGGTGTTGTATAATGGATGGGAAACATACTTACAGTGGGTGTGTCCACATTCTGTCAACGTTAAAGTGACACAACCCCCCTGTGTCTATATCCTTAGTTCTGTCTTAAATCCTTCAAGTTTCAACAAACCTGTTTGTCTCCCTCTAACTGCCGTGTGTGTATTGTATAGCAGTTTACAGACATTACTCTTTCTGTCTTTTTCCTCTTAGGAGTGAACCACTTGTGCCAAAAGATGTTCTTGCTCAAGAAAGCCATTGGGGGTGTTATTGATGTGATCGGGTAAGGCAATATTTCACCACAAGCTCAATTTGTTTCTTCTGTGCATAAGCAAAATTTTGTGTCAGGCATCTGTTTTATTGTTGTGCTTCAATTTACATTAAGCTGTACTTCAACCGAGACAAACGTATAAAACAGGGGTGTCAAACTCAATTCCTGGAGGGCCGAAGCACTGCACAGTTTAGTTCCAACCCTGCTCCAACACACCTGTAAGTTTCAAACAAGCCTGAAGGACTCCATTAGTTTGATCAGGTGTGTTTAATTAGGGTTGGAACTAAACTGTGCAGAGCCTTTTGGAATTGAGTTTGACACCTGTGGTATAAGAGATTTAAACAAGTCAATTTAACAAATAAATACTGAAACTGTGTATGGGGCAAATATGGTAAACAGAGTACAAAGCTATGGTAATTATAGGTATCCTGATAACACTAAATATTTCCCATGCCTTTTAAAAGCTACACAGTAAGCACAATTTTTGTACTAAATGAATGAAAATTAAAGGTTTGTTGTTGGATTGTAGTTAATTTCTTCATTAGTGGCACAGTCTTGTGCTGCAACTTTTTTTTTTTTTTTGATATCTCCAGTGCTGATTTTGCTTTAATTGAATAACATTTTAGTTAGTAATTTTGCTTTAGTTATATGGGAATGTTGACAAAGAAATTGCCATAACTAAAATCTGAATTAAAATGAGAAAAAAATAGACATGAAAAGATAAACAGTACAAAAAATACACAAAAATGATAAATATTAAGATCATTTTAAGGATTAATCGAACTGATGATAACTACAATAATGACTAAATGTTACTAAAACAACACTGGTTTCAATCAAAGGTTGTGTTTAGATTAGTCTCAGAGCTTGTTGCATTGGTCCATTTTTTTCTGAATATGTTCATACTGTGATTCTTGGAAAATGCTATCCTAGGTTCTTTAAAATACAAAATGTTACTATTGTACAAAGCTGCATTTTGAGTTTAAATTTTCTGAAATGTTATCATGTATTATTAACTCTAAAAATCTTAACTTAGATATTAATTTGTTTGTTATTTTTAATTGTATATTTATTATTGAAATGGCCTTGCCAAGAAAATTGCCTTTGTTACTGACATGGCATTAAATTAAGTATCTATAACATTTTTTTATTTTGAGAATTATAAACTCTAGATGAGGATAACAAAGCCCAAAGTGTATTCTTTCTAAAGATACATGAACTGTGAATGTCGACCAAATTATTCAGCAACTGTTACTGTTTTATGTTAAGGTCATTTTTGAGAAAATTCCATTTCATAATTCATCAAAATTTGAAATATAAACTCAAGAGGCACTTGGCTTTCACTTGGCATATTTGTTCTAGGTCATAACATTAATGTTTTCCTGCCATGGACCATAGTAAAGCTCAAAGTTTCTTCTTTCCAATGATACCTATTTTTTTTTGTTTGTGGCTCACCTGGATCAAGAACTGTTACTATTTAAAATTAGGTAGGGGTAAATCCCCAAAAGTGAGTGCTGGCTAAATACACTGCATTACATTTAGGTTAAGTCAAAGCAAACTTTCTAAAATAAGACCAGCAATGTTGTATTTAGTATTTTAAATAAATGAATTCAGATGCAATTCATAGAGTAACTATCACTTTCCTAATTCTATTTTATTGTTAAATTAAGGGGATAGTTCATCCAAAAATGACATTTTTTTACACTCTCAAATGTTTCCAAGACTTGTTTAGTTTCTTCTTTTTAGAAGATAGATTTTTAACACAAGAAGATATTTTGAAGAATGTTAGAAAGTTGCAGCCATTGACTTCCAAAAATGCTATGGAAGTAAATTGTTGTGAAATTTTTCAAAATATCTGTTTAAATTGCTTGGTTTTGTTCAAGATCAGTTGGTCATGGGTAAATACATGATTGTATCTGCATGTTTGGATGAGCTAAATGCATCAACACAAGGGCAAATGAAGCACAAAATCCAAATCTAAAGCAGCATACATTTTCAAAAATGTATATATACATAAACCATTTAATGTGGCATAGCATCTTTACGCTGAATTCTAAGCAGATAACCCACTTTAGAGCCATCTTAAATCAACTGTATAAAGATTATATAAGTAACCCGATTAAGTTTGAAACAGTACATGTGTAGTACTGCTGTGTTATACTGCTGTTGTTATATTTGTCTATTCATAAGATGCAAATACTGATCTAGAGTGTACTTATACATCTGTGACATCTTGTCTATGTGCTGTTGATTTGAAAGCATAATTATGGCCTCTCATCCTGTTTCCACAGCAACATCGACCCCAACCAGTTTGTGCCTTCAGAACCTGTGAGTAACAGGAGCTCTCTGTGTGATGTTATACATAAGTGTGTCTGATGCTTGATGTCAGTCATCTCTGACCTGTTTGGAAAAAAAACAAAAGGATGGAAACTTTTTTTTATAGTACCCATATCTTCAGCTATTTTCTAACCTTTTCATTTTAAACAAATCGAATACTAACACTCTTTTATTGGCAGTGATGTGAAGTAACTAATAACAAATACTCAAATGACTGTAATTGAGTAGTTTTTCTCAAAAATTGTAATTTACAGAGTAGTTCTAAATATGTGTACTTTTACTTTCCCTTGATTACATTTAAAGTGCTGTATCAGTACTTTTACTCCACTACTTTCCTTCAACCTGCACTAGTCACTACTTTATTCTTGTCTATGGGGATTAGAAAAGTCAGTCCTGTGTTTCCTGTCTAATCAAATCACGCATAGAAGATAAATCACATTATAATGCACAACCTCAAAACGTAAGTGATTTATAGTTCCAGCAAACTGTTTGGAAGCATTAAAAGTGTTCAAGAAGATGTCCAAAATCAAAGTCATCCCCCAACGTTGTGGGGACGTTGCATTTTGTTTTGAAATGAAAATCTGGTTGACATCAGAACCCAGTGTCAGGCCAACGTCAGTTTCTAATGTCCAACCTAAAATCAACCAAATATTAACGTCTAATGATTTTGCAGCTTGATGGTCTGTTGACATTACCACTAGGACGTCTGTCAGATATTGGATTTTTGTTGCCGTACCTGATGAGTAAATGTCAGTATTTGACATCAGTATGACGTTGATGTTGGCTCGACGTTGGATTTTGGACACTTTCTAGCACAACCTAAAAAAAACCAAATATCAATCATTTGATGTCGTTATTGGATATTAAATTAACGTTGTCTTTAGACACTGGCTAGTCATTAGTTTTGGTCATCTGACATCACAACCTAAATATAGCCTAATATTAACGTCTTATGATGTTGTGTGCCTGCTGGGCAAAACCTAAATGCGCTACGGAATGTTACGTTTACACACATCCACATTTAGATTTTATATTAAAAAGGATAGTTTTAAAAAATGAGAAATCAATTTCCCAACTTTCAGTCCATTCAAGATGTAGGTGACCATTTTTAGCAATTCTGAATTGTTAGTCGATTCATAAATTGTACTTCATTGGCTGTAAGCATGTTAAGACTCAGCATGGTTTTGCCTGTGATTTTTTTTATTTTATCTATTTTTGTACTTTTAATGTGCTAGAAGCTATTGGTTTTGCAGTTGATGAATCTATTAGGGCCTAAATCAAGGGTGTCCAAACTTGGCCCTGGAGGGCTGGTGTCCGACATATTTTAGTTCCAACCCCAATTTAACACACCTGAACCAGCTAATCAAGATCTTTCTAGGTCAGGGGTGCCCAAACTCTGTCCTGGAGGGCCGGTATCCTACAAAGTTTAGTTCCAACCCCAATCAGACACACCTGGGCTAGCTAATCAAGTTCTTACTAGGCTTTCTAAAAATATTCCTGCAGGTGTGTTGAGGCAAGTTGGAGCTAAAATCGGCAGCATACCGGCTGTCCAGGACCAAGTTTGGACACCCCTGTTCTAGGTATACTCTAAACTTCCAGGCAGGTGTGTTTAAGGATGTTGGAGGTAAGCTTTGCAGGACACCGGCCCTCCAGGACCGAGTTTAGACA